TACGACGAAGGAGAACTACACCAAGTTCTCCATCCCTATACATCAAATTTTAGCCCAAGTAAAGGACAAACCTTGGGTAAAAAGACCGCCACCCTTGAAAGGAGATCCGGATAAGAGGGATACCAGAAAGTATTGCGCCTTCCATGCGACACACGGGCACAATACGAATAATTGCTTTGCTTGGAAAGCGCACCTAGAAGAACTCGTGAGAGAAGGTCACTGCACGGAGTTCATCGCGAAGCAGGCCATCCAACGAATTGAGGACCGCGATGCCGCCAAGGAGCCACCTCAAAAAGTCATAAGGATTAACACAATCCTGGCTGATTCCGAATAGTCTGGGCTGACCAGCAAGGAAAAGAAGAGGAAAATCAAACAGGCCACTATCATCTCCCAGATCTCCACTAGTCTCCCACCTGCGGAAGACGATCCAGTGATCGGCTTCCAAAAGAAAGATCTAGTCGGCCTCGATCTGCCACACAACGACGCTCTTGTCATTAGCATTCAAATCGCTCAGGCCATGGTCGATCGAATCCATGCAGACGAGGGCAGTGCAGCCAATATCCTACAATTGGCAGTCATCCAGCAGATGGGCTTAGAGACAAAGATCAACAAATTAGCTAGGTCACTAACCGGCTTCAATGGCGCAACAACGGTTACCGTGGGCATGATAGATCTCGACGTCTACTCCCCACCTGTAATCAGCTCACAAACATTCATGGTCATTGATGAAGTCTCGCCCTACAATGGCATTCTGGGCAGACCATGGATCAGCAAGATCAACGCCATCACCTCCGCCACACATCAGAAAATCCGCTACCCTATCCCTGGGGGCGGTATCAGTCAGATCAATAGTGATCAAGCAATGGCGAGGAAATGCTCAGCTTAAGGGCTGAAGAGAAGCAAGCAAACACAATTCCTCCCTGTAAATCAGGCAGATATGAGGGGAGTAGAGCAACCAGAGGAGAAGGCAAATCCCGTTCCTGACGGTCGAGCAGACCAGAAAGGAAAGGGAATAGCTACTCCCCAATAGCAATCAAAGAATCAGGACCAAGTCGAGGGAATCCGTCCGGAGGTCTCTCCTGAAGAAGGATGGAA